GCACTGAATCCCGCAGTGGCTCTGAAAAGGTTTGAGAACCAGGGTATCTGTTGCACAAAGCAAGCATTAGGTCCCTTGGCAAAATGGCAACTGTGTTCCCCTAGCAGCCTGCAAACACCCACAAAAACAGTAAATGATACTTTTCATTTCTCTAGTGTTTTTCATTTGAGCATCTCAGAGTAATTTATCAAGATTAATTAAAACCATTTGGTAGATGGGGAAATTATTTGATATCTGTCACAAGCTGGTCAGTGGCAGTTCCAAAAACTGAAGCTTACGATCTTCAATACCACACTTCAACTTAGACATTGAACCACAGTTACTGAATAGTCTGCTGTCCCTTATATTTTATTCCCTTAGGTTACTGTCTGTAGAGCACAGCAGGCCTCCACTATAGGACCTTAACCAGCATACAGAAATGGGAGGGAGGAAATAAAACACAGCATTCATTTACAATTGTAAACCACCTTGTCACAGACTGATCATCTCTTACGTCTCTACCTGTTCTTTGAGGACTGTTTGCTAGAGTTCTCTGATAGATACCAAGCTGATTTACTAATTGCCAATATTGGCTCATACTCAGCATCTGTCTTTGGTATTATCAGCACAAAGCTTTTCATACTAAAATAAATTAAAGGGGAAAATAGTTAAATGGCTTGTATGCTGGTCAATGAATTACTGATGGTTATAATGGAATGGGTTTTCTTACATCACAAATGGCTGCCAAGAATGAGAAGGTCGGTCTCTCTCTCTCTCTCTCTCTATGTATATGTGTGTGTATAGATATACACACACAGCACACCAGTGTTCCCTCTAATTTTTTACATGCACGTGTGGAATGAATTTTGTTATATGCACCAATATAGAAGTGATGTGTGGCGGGGGGTGGGACTGAGGGGTTCGGAGTGTGGGAGGGGGCTCAGGGCTGGGGCAGATGGGTGTGGGGAGATGAGGGCTCCAGCTGGGGATGAAGGATCTGGGGGTGAGGCCAGGGATGAGGGGTTTGGGGTGCAGGCTGCCCTGGGGCTGTGGCAGGGAGAGAGGACTCCCCCAGCCCTCTCTCGTCACAGCAGCTCGAGGCCAGGCAAGAGGCGCCTCTCTCTGGCCACGGCAGCTCCAGCAGGTCCAGGCCGCCTTTCCATTCCTGCGTGGCCCTTGATAGCCTGCCGTGCAGCATAGAAGGAACTTTGACACACACTCCATTCTTCTTCCCTTTCTCTAGAGGTTGTAGTGTCCCCAGTTAATTAGAGGAGCTTTAACTTTCAAAACTACTGTGCATAGATAAGACCTATTTAAAAAAAGCATGTTCTTCCCTGTATTACTAAAACAATGCGGCATATTAAAGCTGCAAAATAATTTTAAAATGTTAAATTTAGTTTTCATCAGATGCCTTTTTTTTACTTTTTTTGTAAAATTTCACTCACCTTAGACAGTAATTTGGACCTTGGTCATTTTTGCTATATATTCTAATTAATTTCACTTACTGTTTCTTACCTACTTGGAAGTTAAACTGATTAAAAACACACACTAAAACTGATCAGTCTATTTTCTCTAGCACTAGTACTAGCATAATATTGTCATTATGTGTGGGGTTCTTAAAGCTAGAGGGCAATGCTATTGAAAATTTTAAAATATGTCATGTTAAGTGAATCTTCCCTCCCCTCCCCAATCTTCTTCCTCATTTTAATTTTTATAAAGTCTAAATTTAATCTCCAAAAACTAGACTGTTCCCTTTCATATTACAATGAGACACAGTAAAGCAAGCGCGCGCACACACACAAAACAACAATCCAAAGCAACACGTCCACCACAACAAACAATCTAGCCACTTTGCAGAATACATACAGCTCTCTTTGTGATCTTCCTGGAAGTACACAAATTTCCTGAAGCATCCTGTCACTTCATGCAAGTAGTCTTGTTTAAAACTGGGGATGTATTTTTTGGAAGTTGTCTCTTTCCAAATCTCTGAGGGTTATTTCCAGGCCATTAAGAGGGGATTTTCTCAGAGTTTTAGGGAACCCCTCTGTTTTTAATTTGTTTCATATTTCCCTTCTTTAAAGGTCAGCTTCAACATGTCCAACCTTCCCCTCCCCACCTGCCCAGGTCTAATTCTGTAACTACGTAGTGACCAAAGAACTCATGTGGCTATAAAAATTGGGACCATAAATTTTTCCATGATCTTCTCTCCATCACTCCTATGTGGTCTGTTTTTCTCTTGACTGGATTTATTTCTCTTGCAGAACATCACAAGTGAGGCATGTTTGTCCTGGAAGGGTCATATATGGTGGCAATGGATTATTATGGAACAGTAATAGCACAGGGATATAATCCATCATATGTGCCTTGTGGGAATAAGTATTTCCTTGTACCTCCCCATAATAGGATGATAGAAGAATGACCAAGATATGACAGACCCAGTATGCAAATAATGAGGATTTATTTTGTAGTTCTTATGGACTGCTTTTCATCAGTAGATCTCAAAGTGCTCTCCAAAGGAGGTCAGTATCACTATCTCTGTTTTTCAGGTGGGGAAACTGAGGCACTGAGCACTGAAGGACAAGATTCACAAAAGGACTTGAGTGCCCAAGTACCATTTTAGACATCTAAATCCCAGAATCAGGCTCCACCGGGATTCCTTAAACTCCAACTCAGCTGTCCTTGAAAACTGTAGGCGCCAGAATTCACTCAGCATCTAAATACTGCAACAAAAGTTCCGTAGGTGCCTACGTTTCTGTCTCTGGGAGCATCCACTGCAGCCTTATTTGAAGCATCTGGATGCCTAACCCCCAGAGGGATGCACGAACCGTGAGAAGATACGTAGTTCTTCCACAGAACTTGCCTGTGGGGCCTGATTGAGTGAACGTGTTCAGAATTTGCCTCTGGGATTGGACCCCTGTAGGCAAACCCAAACAAAATAACTGGAGGGTGGAGGAAAGGAAGCCTTTCCTCATAATTTTTAGCCCAGTGGTTAGGGTACTCACCTGGGACATGACTTGGTTCAAGTGCACATTCTGCCTGAAAAAGTAATTGGGGGTATGTGTGTATGTGTGAGAGAGAGAGCAAGCATGAGAATGACACTGTAGCTTGGTAAGAGCACTCAAGAGGGCAGTGGGAGACCCAGCCTCCAGTCCTCCTGCTCCAGGACTTCTTAAATTATTTCTGGAACAGCTTCAACAGGAACCTGAGGGATTGCCCACATCAGACTATCTTCAAGCCAAGTGGTTAGGACCCTCTCCTAAGAGATAGCAAAGCCCTGTTCAAATCCTTTCTACACCTCAGGTGGAGGATGGACTTGAATCAGAGTGCTCCCATATCCCAGACGAGGATCCTAACTGCCAGGCTAAAATGTATGAGAAAGGTGCCTATGCCATTTCTGCAGGATGTCCTAATATCAGAAGAGGGTTTGCAGCTGAGATTCCCAGGTGCCTCCTTGCTGCTCAGATTTAAGTGCCAAACTCCCTCAGAGTGGTGGGGTTTTGGATACACTCTTCCCCTTGGCTACTTAGGTGAGACCATGTAGCATGCTGACTTGGGTGGAACATGTCCTAAGAGGCCTATCTCACCCCATTCATTTTGCACGGAGCCTAGGCGCCTACCTCAGGCTTTGTGAAAACCAGTGATTTTCTAGGCACCTAAAAGATAGGTGGGCTGAATCTAACCCAAAGTGACTGGCAACACCCAACAAGCTAGTAGCAGACTTAGGAATAGAACCCAAGTCACCGAGGGCCAGTCCAGTGCACCTAGGCCATACTACAGTCAGTGCCGCCTAACAAATGCTAACTCTTCCTTGGTCACTGGTGTTTTGAAATCCAAACTGTAAATTTCTTATGTTGAAATAGAAAATCCCAGAAGTGCCTTAGACACCGTAAAGGTTGCTGGATATTCATGAATCTGTATATGTGAACTCAGAAATGGCAAAACCTGGTGTTAATGGCTGCTTAGTCTGTCTGCTAATAAACACACACATATACATATCTGCATAGCTAACTGAACAATGTGCAAATTCAACCTCATCCCCTCTGCTGTGTAATTCATATAGCACAGAAAATCCACTGGGATGAAAAACTATAGGGAAATAACACCACACACCTATTTTGTTATCATAACCTGCAGGATACCAGGAGTCAGATCAAATAATGAAAGAATTAACATCTCCTCTTACAGTCATTGCTCTTTGTGATGTATTTTTATGCTTCTACATGTATGCATCTGGTGGGTCAGTTTGTGTGGCACCACGTTTTGGGTGTTTTAACACTCGTTTTTATTTAGGACTCTAATATCATCCCATCATGTGCCATACCCAGCAAAGGATTTTAATCTTCAGTACATGAAATAAGCCAGTTCACTGGCCCAAACTCTGGGTTTGGGATTAGGGCTGCCAACCCTCCAGGACTGTCCTGGAGTCTCCAAGAATTAAAGATAATGTCATGTGATTAAACCTCCAGGAATTCATCCAACCAAAACTGGTAACTAGGGTGACCAGATTAGGGACAATCCCGATAATTGGGGCATTTTCTTCAATAGGCGCCTATTACCCCCCTCCCCCCCGTCCCGATTTTTCACACTTGCTGTCTGGTCACCCTATTGGTAACCCTATTTGGGATCAGCCGACCTGCAACCATAGGTTCACCGTGGCCCATCCCCCTTGTGCGGGAGCCCAACCAACCCGTGTCTTTCACCCGACACCTTAGAGACCAGGGTCTTGTCTGAGCGCCCAGCGATGGAGGCTGGCCCCCCTGGACAAGCCCCCGGGCCCCCGCGCTGGGGTGCAAGGCAGGACCCGTGGGCTGGGGCCCCGCGCTCACCGGCAGTGCAGGCGGGAGTTGCACGCATCCGGTCTGGCCCCGCTCAGCCTTAACCGCCCACTCGCCAACGCTTCAGGGGATCACGCAACGCCCCGCCCTCCTCCTTGGCCCCATCCAAAATGGCTGCCTGGGCAGTGAGTGGGACCGCTCTCTCTGCACGGTCCTCCAAGCTCTATGGCGGCTTGTGTCAGGCGCCTCGCGTACGCCGGACGGGAGAGGAGTGAGCATGCGCATTGAGTTTTCCTTTACTTCCTCTGGCGGCTGCTCCTGTTTCCGGCCCCCCACTTCCCTGGTAACAATGGAGCAGAAAATGGCCGCCTGAGAAGGGGAGGGAAGGAGACGCTGCTGCCGCTCGGGGAGGGACGGAGCAGAGCGAGCCAGGGCCGAGCCCGCTGAGCACCGGGGCAAGCAACGGACCGAGACCCGGGGGGAGGAGGGAGCCTGGCGGCGGCGGCGGGTGAGTATCGGGGCTGGACGCAGACTTTCAAAATGGCCTAGGGAAGGGAGAGGTCCAGGCCCAGGGGAGGAGGAGGCGGCGGCGGCGGCGCCGCTGCTCTGGTTGCCGGCGGAAAGGGGGAGTCTGTGTCCCCGAGCCTCTGCCCCCCTTCGATACCCGACCCTGCCTAGCCGGGGACGTTGGGAAGAGGGCCCTGGCGCACAGGCGGTGGGTGGGGATCCCCGCTCCTGGGGCAGGGAGGACAGCAGGCCCCTTTGGTCTCCCTGTCTCCACGGAGGCGACCCCTTGGTCCTCTCTACCCCGTCCCCAAGTGTGAGCGCGGGTCCTTGTCGGCCGCAGGGGAGCCTCACTTCCTGCCCCATCCCCTCCGGCAGGGGAGGACTGACAGACACCTCAGGGCCCTTCAACTCCGCACGGCCTGAGCCCGGAAGGGGACCCATTCTCCGGTTGGGCACTGGGCTAAGCTCCCTCTCGGGGGTTTCGGGGCTTGTCTTTCCGCTGTACCCAGCTGGGTTTGAGGGGGATTGAAACTTGAAACTAGGCCTTTGGGTTTGTAGGGAAACTTGCGCCTCTCTCTCTCCTGTCCAGGGTCTCCTTTAAGGAACTGTAGTTTCTCAGGCTCAAGCCTTCATTTTGTCCTCCCCACACCAGGAGCAAGGAGCCCCATCGTGAGGAGAGAAGTGGAGGGGACTCTCCCTATCACACTCTGTGAGGGCCTCTTTTATTGGGGCCTCTTCTATTTCCAAGTGTCCAGGTTGTTTATAGTTTTGTAACCCACGAAAACTCATGGCCTTCTGATCCCCATTTTCTGTCTAGTCTCACTTACTTCCTAGTTACCTTTATTACCCACACCTCCAAAATGTTCTGAGGATAATGTAAAAATGATCTGTACTTTTAGGAATGTTTATGGAGGTTAAAACTCTGGTCATCCTGGGATGTCTTATGTTGTTTGTAGTCATACATCTCAAAGGAGGACCAAAATCTATTCTGTATGTATCTTATGGACTTATTCTTGATCCATTATCTATCTATTTGATATACTTACAAAAAGGGTTTTCAACAAAAAACTTCCCTAGGACATTAAGTTGGAACGTTGGATACAGTTTGTATTTTCTGGTGTGAATAAATAAAGAGCCCTGTTTAGTGTTGAATAAATGAGCTTTCAAACTGAAGTGGTACACAAATAACAATAATTAGGTGGACAGCACGACACCGAAGTCTTACTTCCCATCTGCACTATTGGCTATATTGTTTAATTTCAAGTTGGAGGTGACTATGAAATAGTAAAGAAGCTGTAACATCCATCTTCTAATCATTTCAACCATGATAAGTTGATAGGTAGAGTTGAAAATTAAACAGTAACTCCTTCATTTTGTAGATGAAGTTAAATGTCTTCTCCCAGCGTCTGGGATTGGATATGTTATGGTGACAGCCCAGTGGTTAAAGGTGCCTATGTATGCCCAGCGTAGGTATGCCCGTTTTGGAATGGTTAATCATCATTTGGAAAGTAAAGGAGTCAGAAATGTTGATCTAACTGCTCATCAAAAGAGGAAAACACATTTTATTAAACAGGTTACAAAGGAAATAATTACTGCATTCTTCCCCCCTCCCCCAGTTAGCAGTACTAAAAATGTATGTTCTTCTGGCTCTTAATGTCATATATAAATATTGGTGTGGTTAATTATAAGGTGATGTGACCGTCAAACAAATAGCAGGTCCCTAGCCTGGATAATAAACGTTGTCCAGTCCATATTAACTACCTCACAGAAAAGAGAGAGTTGACAGTTTCAGCACTCCTCATCTCTCCACCAAACTCAGAACAGCCTGGTGCCTAATCTTCACACACATTTTGCACTTGTTTGGTTAAGGGCATGATTTTTCTAACCAAAATATTTATACTGGTGTAGCCCCTTATAGAGTTAAAACAGTACAATTCTTGTGTATAGATAAGCTCTTAAGAATGTGTTTAGGCTAAGATTTAAAGGTGTCTGTAGGAATGTTAGTAACACCTTCTAACAAATCTAGTGGAAACAAGGCATTGTATAGTCTAACACATGCTAAACTGGTTTAATTGAAACCCAACTAGATTAACTGATCACTTACTAGCTGAATAGTCTACACTAGACTTTTAGAGCATGTTAGCTGACATGTTCTAACACACCTTTAAATCCTCTTCTAGGTGAAGTCTAAGAGGGGCAGGAACTTGTAAAAACCTAAGCCAGTTGAAGTATGGAAAGGATAAAACATAGCACGTGTATACCTTTTTGCCATCAGGATCTCTTATTTTGAATTTCTTATACATAGGCACCTATCTTGCAACCCATATTTTTAAAAAATGTGTTAGTGTTAAACTTTAATGTAGGGATGGATCTTTCCATGGGTATATAAAGGTAACTTGAAGCGTCACAACATTTCCATTTGCTTTTCTCTTCTCAGAATGTATGAGACACTTGGTTGTGCATAAAAAACATAAAATGCATATAAGGCTGCAATTTCATCTTCTTGTCCTGGTTTATGTCAGCAGACACCAATTGGTATTTCTTGGTTGATCTGAAGTATTGATGTTTAACTCTTTCCTTCAGTGAGGACTGCAAAGCTGAGCAGCTTCATTGCTAAAAAATCAAGTGGCAACACTTGATTAGGTAAGATATACTAATATATATTTACTTTATCCTCTTAATTTTAATAACTTTTTTAAAAAAACTTCCAACAAGAACAGTCTTTTACAAATTCAGTATGCCAGAGGCATCTGTATCCATAATCTCATAAATAATGTACATGAATTTCTGTTTCTTGATTTGTCATCAAAATCAGATGATGAGATTGTAGTTTTACGTACAGCTAGGTTTTATATTTAAACATAATATATAACTTAAATTTTATTAAATAAGGTATTCTTTTAAAAAAAAAATATTTGGGAGTATTTCATGAATTAGACAGCAACCAGGATAGGCTTGTACCCTAATCCTCATTTGTTGGTTGCAGTTGTTTGTCAGCATAGCATTGGCCTGTTATCTCCAGTAGAATCTGTAATAGCAACAATTTTGCGGATTAAGTGGAGTTAAAAGAAGTGTTGAAGTTACATGTTTTTTGCATTGAAATTCTACAGGTTATGTTTGATTTAGAGCTTCCATTAACCGGAGGTCCTGTTTCTGCTGAAACTTGAGCACTACTCGACGGTCATCAGTTTTGCGGGTCTGGCTCCCCAGGATGCTACCCTACTTTTGCTGCTCTCCCTTTCAGTGACGACATTGGCTGCTGACATACCACAGTGCTGCTTCCTCCTAACTTCAGAGTGGGCGTTTTGCTTGCTGACCTTACAGGATGCTCAATTTTAGAGCAAGAGAGAACCATTTTCATGAGACTTCTCTTGTGATACCTCATGTCCAATAGGTCTTCTCTTCTGTGGTATAATCTAAAGACCAAAAGCAACATAATGTCATATTTATTTTCATTTTCAACATGTCTTTTTGACAAATGCTATTTTAATAAGGAAAATTATAACATTTTGAGCCCTCATAGTTGACAGTGGAGTTCTACGAGTGAAACATTTTATTGGATATGTGAAAGTATTGACATACGTTCTATTGCGATGTCATACCTATGATTAAAATGATATTCTGATTCTTATGGCTTCTGCTTGTTAGGGCTCTGGGAATATCTTTGTTCCTTTATTAAAATAGCATTTTATACAAATATGTTGTAAAAAGACATACTTTTTTTGGTGTTCTTTGGCAAGTTGACATTTTTCCAGCTTAATTTTTTTTTAAGCAAGGAATGTACAGGTGAAATTTGAGTGGTGTAATGTTTGGGGTAAGATAAGTCTCTCTCCATCACATTTAATTTCCAGATAGATACTTTAAGAACTTTCTGTAGGTGTTTTGTTTTATTTTAGAATGCACATTCATACTACATCCATTAGAGTTAATAGCAACAGGCAAAGAATAAGCCCAACATGTAAGGCAGACTTTTAAAAATTTGAAAACTTAATCCCCTATTGTCTCTACGCTGTAGATATTCAGACTGGTTTGAAGGCCCTGATCCTGCACTACATGTCTATGTGGGAAAACTCATTATTTTAAGAGGGGCTGTAGGTAGACAGTGGTCCATCTGTGTGTATCTTGTTGTAGGATTGAGGTGCAAATCTCAGTGAGCCCTCTCCCTCACATGCTTGTATTTTTTTTTTAATGCTCTTAATAATTGGGTTCACTCAACAGTCATTTTCTGTGGTCTGTTTTTTGAGAGCAAGGATTTACAGGATAAACAATGATGAAATTTCAAGGTTGAAAACACATGAAATGTGTGGTTTCTTAATGTATTGCAACTAATTATTTATAAAGTACTTGGTGTTTGACATAGCTACATTAAAACTATTTACTAGTTTTTTCTCTTGTGCATCTTAGAAGAGCACAGATTGTACTAGTTTGTTTTTTGAAGCCTAGTCATTTATTTGGTTGTCACATCATGTTAAATAAGGCACTTTAAAATATGACTTAGGCTTTGCAAGTATTTTTATACCTTGAGAGAAATGGAGTTCAAGATATTCTAATAGCTAGTTTTAATTTCTCTCAGTGTAAATTACTTGGTGTTGGAGAGCTTTTCTTGACAGGGCAGTAGGGAAGAGCTTTCATCATGAAAGAGGGTTAATAGTCCTATTGGAGATTTAGGTGATCTTTGGGGGTAGGGAATGTGTATATTTTCAAGTCAACATGTGAGTTTTGTCTTGTACATTTTTCTTGAAGTTTGGTTTAGGGAAGGGCAACTCTGACTTCTATACTGATACAACAATTTACCTCTGATTATCAGAAAGGATGACTAGTTCCTTTAGGATGGAAGTGGATCAGTTGGTAATAGCTCATTAAGTATTGTAGTAGGTAATCATTATTTAGAAATTAGTCCTTGTTGGGCACAGTTGCTAAACTGTTTCCACCTATTAACCATCCCTTTTGTGTATTCAAAGTTATAAATTAAATTTCTGGGAAGAGAGTCAAGAAATCTGCATAATGTATAGGAATCTAATTTTCTAGAAAATATCCTGTACATGCCAAATGAAATGATGTCCCTCTTAAATATTGAAACCCGTATATTTTAATTTCATCTTAAAATATCAATCATTTAGACACGAGACGTTCTGGAGGAGATTAACTCCCTCCAGACAGTTCTTAATAGTGCTTGCTGTTTTATTAATTTTGTTGGTCATAGTCTTTTTCCTCCGATTACTAAGGACTTTGAGACCTACTAGACATTGCTGATGAAGAGCACAACTTTATTTTTTTAAATCGCTCCTTTTTCTTCAGACAGTGTATTGGAAAGACTTGGATCCTTTAGGGTCTCAAGTTTCCTTTTACTTTATACAAGTTGCAGATTTCAGCAATGACTGCAACTTAATTTTAGGTGGGTTTTATTCACTTACAGAAACAAAAGAACATATACTAAGGTACTTCCCTGTAAATTCAGCTCAGATAGCTTTTGGGTTATTTTACTAAGGCCTGAAACAGCTTATTTATTTTCGTGCAAGGAAGACTTAGTTGGTAGGTCATTGTGTCATCTGCTCAATTAACACTTATTTCTGGGAAGCATCTTGTGATCCTCAGATGGAAGGTACCATATAAGTGTAAAGTAGTAAAGATAAAGGTGAACTGAGAGTTTTCGCATTTTACTATTGTATGGGGTCTGAAGTGAATTTCTTAAATGGCTATTTTAGTAAATTCTTGAATTGTGATGCCTGACCCTCGTTCATAGATAGGCTATAACTTAGAAGCCATATATTTTTATGACTTTCTACTCAGGCCTAGTTGTCGCAGTATCAATGAATTGATCATTTTAGTACTGGTAGTGGAGCAAAGTAACTGGTAATGGCAACTTTTTTCAATACCAAATGAATATCTTTAGTTCTCTATCATTTATACCCCCGAGACCATAAAATAACTCCTCCCTTGTAGATTATAAAGTCTTGAACTATAGTCAGTCACTTCTTGCTATTAAAGCTTGCTGTGTTTCATAGACTCTGCTGCTTTGTAGTGATGGTAAGGAGGACACTAGTCATTTGTGCCTGGCACCTTTGAGTGGATTGTTAATGAGTAACTACAGGGAATCCACTTGACTGACTTGTCAAAGAGTGGGCACACCAATTTAAGAGTTTACTGCAATAATATCTGGTTATTCAGCTGCTGAAAAACACTTCCCATCACCATTTTAAAGAAAACTTTCACTTGTTTCAGTCAAGTAGCTGTACAGACTCTTGTTTCCAGCGAACTTTAGACAAATCTTACTGTGCTTCCATAAAGATGTTCAGTTTCATTACTGGATAAACTAAAGTTGGCTATAATCAACAGATCTGCACTCACTACATCTTAGAGACATGAGCTCCTCCAGACATTTGTGCTCTCCCTCGCCAGTTCTGTGCTGACAGAAGAAGGGAAATTTCAGGTTGTGTTACGCAGGTAAGAACTAAATCTCATGTTAAGTTGACCTAAAGCAATAAAAGCAAGGAAAATCACTGATGTGAAACATACTATATATGACCTCCCCTACACAGGTTTAATAGGATGCCACAGTTATGTCTATCATAATGTATTGACAGACATGGTGTGTCTTTCCCTTATTTGCATTTCTTGCTTTATGGTAATATGCTGCTTATGATATCTTAATGTGATGTTTACATTTTAGTGGATAGGTCTCATTTTAGGCATCAAGATAGTGCATTACACTCAAGACACAATTTGTATAGTGGGCTTCAATTATCTAACTGTATCTAGTTATTGTTTCCATAGGCATCTGTTGCATAGTAATCTGGTAATGGTGCTGCTTTACCGCCGCTATTGAAATCCTGTTGTGTAGCTAGGTAGAACCAAGGAAACCCCATTGTCACTGTAGTACTATTAGTATCCTAGTGATAGGCATCTAGAATTTATATGCCTATATTCTGCAATGGCTAGGGTAGAAGAGAACTGTTTCTTAGAGGTGGATAAACTGGCTTGGTGCAGAGTTTACATTAGGTGTTTGCACTGGTGAAGCTTCTTTGGGGTAGCTATACCAGTGTGAAAAGCCCTAATGTAGGCAAGCTTCCAGGAGTAAACCTAATAGTGTTGAATCTAAATGCAAGACCCTCCTCTGTGGCCTTCTTCCAATAATTACATTTGCCACATCCAACATGTAATTTTGGGCTTGGAGACGGAAGAAGACAAACACAGTAACTCTTGTGTAAGTTACCTAAATGTGTGTAAACAAATGGGCCTTGAAGGTCATGCAATGCCTCTCTTCTATTTAGGAGACGTTATGATTTAAACCAGTGGTCCCCAAGGCAGTGCCCACAGGTGCCATGGCGCCCACTGGGGCATTTTTGTGTGCCCGCAGGACACTGCGCCGCCGAGAAGCGTTGCCGTTTCTTGGCAGCATTTTGGTGGTGACGCTTCTTGCCACTGCTGCATTTTGGCGGCGGGGTGTCTGGCGCCCGCCACAGTCTTCTGGGAACAGCAATATGCTATTCCCACAGAAATGTTGGGGACCATTTATTTAAACTGTAGAGACATTTTGATTTTTCTTGACAGTTTTGTTTAGAAACCAAAAAGAGGATCCGTTTCATGCACTAGACCAGTTGTTTTCAACCTTTTGTCATTAGCAGACCCCTAAAAATTTCAAATGGAAGTGTGGACCCTTTTGGAATTCTTAGACATAGTCTGCAGACCCCCAGGGTCCACAGTTTGAAAACCACTGCACTAGGCAAGTGGCCGAGAAACAGATCCTATTATATTTGGAAATTCTCAGATTAAAAAGCACAAAACTCAGAATGGTGTGGTTTTTTTGTTTTCCCCCCTTCCCCCCCCCCCACCCCCTTTTCAATATGTTCACGAGGCATCAGGAGCTGTTTAAAAAAAGAAAACATTTCTGGTGGAAATGTTGTAGAGGAGCATTCCATCAGGTGTAAAACTAGCTAGATAACCAGCCACTTGAGTAACTGGTGCATTCCCACAGTTGTGTAAGACAGTGCTTTACATCATGGTTGGTGAGGCATACTGATTAATAACCAGGCGTCCTTGTTCTGGCTTCCATTTGGGTAGGTTTACAGTTAATATAATTTCTCCAGAGGTGATACGTTTTCACTCTTAACGTTGACCAAATGCAGATATTACCATATCTCACTAATGTTGAAAGATGTGTTAGAGGTTCTAACCTAACTGAAGCAGGAAAAGTGTGGGGAGAATGCATATATATTGGATTCCTGTAAACATCTGGCAATATGCTAGGTACATAAGACTTTTTGGTCTCATATTCCACTTCATCAAAATTGACAGTTTAACTGCTGTCTAATAAATTACTTTTGGCACTAAATTCCAGAATTCATTCTACAGAACCTTTTTATCCCGAGGAGCTGAATGATCTTTGTATTGCAAGGTGTTCTGTGGCACCCACAGTCTACTATGCTGTAATTCTGCTTCCTAGTTTTCACATTTCTTCCAAATGCTTTTGGGGATTGGCTATTCCTCTTAATTGTTCAGAAGGATTGCTGATGAGTAACATGAGGCACTTCCTTTCCTTATAGGCTTGAGCTTGGGAGGCTTAATCCTATTAAAATTGCCTTCTAAAGGAACATAGTGTTGGATTCAGATGACTCATGTCCTTCACAGGATTGTTTTAAGGCAGACTTTAGGCTGCTCTAGGTTCTGCTTTGTCACATAGCTGCAACATTTGGGTATGCTATAAGGCGGTTTAGACGTCTCATTCCTGAGCAATGTTGGGTGCACGAAAGATTGCCTGAAGGATTTGATCTGTAATTTTTATGCTTCCCTAAACATATTGCATTTTTAAAATGATTGATTTAAATTCTGGATCAAGTAGTGATTTAAATTGTGGTACAAGATACCCATATAACTGGAACTTTATCAGCAAACTAAATTTCTCCTTAAATAATTTAAATATATGATTAAGTGTGTGTTATCAGAGTCAAGTTCAACGACAGATTGTGCTGAATTCCACTGAATGTGTCAATAAGCATTACAGATTATTTTATTCATTTTTGTATGTATGGTTTTCAAAATATGTAGTTTTCCTCTCCTTTTTTAGATACTTTCCCACTCTTTCATCAACATGGAAAGCTCAGATTCTAACGATAAAGGAAGTATTGATCACTCAGAAGCACAGCGCCGGAGTCAGCTGGATCGATTAGAACGTGAAGAAGCTTTTTATCACTTTGTAAATAACCTGAATGAAGAGGACTATAGGCTTATGAGGGATAACAATTTGCTAGGAACACCAGGTATGATAAAACATGTAGGTAGCATGAAAACTTTAATTTACGAATGTGAATGCCTCTGCACCCATTTTCAGACTACTTAGTTCCTCTCTCCATTCTGGTGCTGAATGTGTCTTCAGCATTTCTGATATTTTTACTATTTTATGCCATTGTAGAGAGTAGTTCTTCTGCTTAGCTGAGCACACAGTAGACCAGTGGTTTTCAAACTTTTTTCTGGTGACCCAATTGAAGAAAATTGTTGATACCCGCAACCCAACGGAGCTGGGGATGAGGTGTTTGGGGTGTGGGAGGGGGCTTAGGGCTAGGGCAGAGAGTTGGGGTGTGGGGGTGAGGGCTGTGGGGTGGGGCCGGGAATGAGGGGTTCAGGGTGTGGTAGGGGCTTTGGGCTTTGGAGGGGGTCAGGGTGCAGGAGGGGGTCGGGGCTGGGGGTTGCAGGCTCTGAGGGAGGCCAGGGATGAGGGGTTTGGGGTGCAGGAAGGGGCTCCGGGTTGGGGCAGGGGATTGGTGCACGGGGTTTGGGTGTGGGTTTACCTCTGGCGGCTCACGGTCAGTGGCACAACCCGAGTGCAGAGGCAGGCTTCCCGCCTGTCCTGGCGCCGCGGACTGTGCTGTGCCCTGGAAGTGGCCAGAGGAGGTCCAGCTCCCAGACAGAGGTGCGCAGCGAGCGGAGCCCCATGCACCCTCCTCCCCCTCCCCCCCGGCCTAGGAGCAGGACCTGCTGCTGGCTGCTTCTGGGGCGTAGCGCGGTGTCAGACTCAGAACAGGTAGGAACTATTAATTTTTACTGGCCGGCCACCAGGCTCTCTGGGTGCTAAGCAAGGCAACCCATTGCCTTGCATTCCACGACCTAGTGCTGAAGTTTGAAAACCACTGCAGTAGACCATTCCTTGAAGGTAATATGAATAGTGTAGAGCTTGTTAGGTTAAACTAGATGTGCTAATTCAATTTTAAGAAAATGTTAGTGTTCACTGGGACTTGCAAAGTCTGTACTACTGAGGGCTGCATTGGCATCTTGCCAGGTATCTGAGTCTCACTTGGGCTCTTTCTACATAAGAAGGTTGCAGTGGTTTAACTAAAGGTGTCATTTTAAAACCAATTTAGCTAAACCTGTGTGAACAGTCTTGTTTCAGTATAAGAGTGGGTTATTTTGGTTTAGTTAAAATGATTCCAAATAGATTTGTGCTAAACTGAAATCAACAACTCTTAATCTGAAATGCGTCCGCTGTGGTGTTTTTGCACTGGTTTAACTAAATCAGTTTAAAATAACACTTTTAGATAACCAGTGCAACTTTCTCTTGTAAATGAGGCCTTGATTGATGTAGGATGGAGAATACTGCTGACATGTCGTTATAAGACCCAGAAAGCATTTTGCCATCTTCTGAGCACGTTGTAACTCTTTGTTAGCTGGAGCCTCAGCAAATCTTACCTAAGGGCAATAGTGTTGGAGGGCTGTGATTTATGCTTTGGCTACCCTGACTTAGGTATCACAGTGTGTCAGAATTCAGAAAACACTTAAAAGCAGTCAGTATCTTGTTAGGACAGTATTTGCAGTTCAAAGAGAATGTAGGCTAATGTAATGTAATGTACTCTTAAGCTATGGATTATTCTTGCCTTTGCATATCTGCCTTTAAAATAGTTTTGGAAATCTTTGCTTGCTTCCTAAGGTGAAATTACTGAAGAAGAACTGATGAGAAGGCTACATCAAGTTAAAGAAGGTCCACCACAGCAAAACGGTGATGAGAATAGAGGTATATATACTGTATTTGTGGAAGCTCTTAACTTTAGCACCCAGTATAGATCTTAACTTGAATGCAGGAATGGAACATGTTAAGTCTGGGCAGGTGTGAGGTGAGCAGTGTTTTAGAATTAAGTGAAGATAATCTGTTATCTGCTTCAGAGGTCAAAGTTTTGAAGAGATTTCAGCTAGAACATGTCGCACTTATATTTTGCTGCACTGTGATCACTTCTGCAGTTCTTTATTTTTGTTTAGATTTCTCTCCATTCTGTTCCCTTACTGGAGTGCTTTCTGAGATTCCGACATTTTCTCACCTTTACTCTTTTCCTCTCAAGGTTGCCACATTGCCTCCCTACAGAAAGGTTTACACATGGGTCCCACTGAACCCTGTCATTGTTAGCTAAATGAGTGTGCTAGACTAGAGAACCAAGTATTCCAGGCCACTAAGGCAATGTCTACACTAGCACTTACGTTGGCAAAACTTTTGTTGCTCAGAGATATGAAAAAAACACTCCCCCGAGTGACATAAATTTTGCCAGAATAAGTGCTCATGTGTACAGCACTATGTTGGTGGGAGAGCATCTCCCACCGACATATTACCACTCCTCATTGAGTTGGTTTTATTTTGTTGGCGGGAGAACTCTCTCCTGTTGGCATAATGTGGCTACACAAGTACTCTTACAGCAGCACAACTGTATCTGTACAGCTGTGCCTCTATACGCATGTAAATATAGACATGGCTTTGGTTTTGTGATTTAACTGCTGCTATACTAGACCATTGAATGGACAGTATTCAAGCAAGTAAAAAACATCTAATATTTTTTTTTTACAGTTGAAACATAACTGATTTTCCATTTAGTTGTTACAAGAAATAATTATTTTGATTACTTGTTTGCTATTTGGCTACAACTTCTAAAGAGGCATAATTATTGGCAGTAGAAAAATGTCCACTCATGCTCCCGCAAAGAAACAGCTCTTTTAGACATGACACTAATCAAGATGTTAAGGATGAAACTGTTACGGTGTTTAAAAGGCTTAAATATTTTAAAACTGTAACTTGCTTAATTAAGGAATTATATTTTTGGAAAATTTAATCTAATAATTACCTCAGTTCTCTAATTTTGGTAGTTCCCTTTCTTTTGACAGGTGCAGAATCCACAGAAGATGTTTCTAATAGAGATTCCATAATAGACTGGCTTAATTCAGTACGACAGACTGGAAATACCACACGGAGCGGGCAAAGAGGAAACCAGTCTTGGAGGGCAGTGAGCCGGACTAACCCTAACAGTGGTGATTTCAGATTCAGTTTGGAAATAAATGTCAACCGTAATAATGGGAACCCAAACCCAGAAGCTGAAAATGAGCAATCTGTAGAGCCCTCCAATGGTGAGGATTTGGAAAATAGCCAAAGTGACACTGAGACTCCAAGATCTGAATCGCCATCTGTAAGGCAGCCTGGATCAGACAGAAGTACCTCTGAGGAGTTAGCAACTGAGGAAGCATCTCCTGTCAGAGGCCAGAGAAGAGCAAGAAGCAGGAGCCCAGAACAACGAAGAACCCGGGCTAGGACTGATAGAAGTAGGTCACCTATTAATCCAGCAAGCGAGACTCCTCGTAGGTCTCCTCACAATATGCCATCTCAGACTCTTGATCATTCCCTGGTAAATGAATCCGAGGGAAGTTCTAGAACTAGACAGCATGTGACGTTAAGGCAACATACAACGGGGACTGAGATTGCAAGTGAAAATGCAGTTCTGTTTTCAACCCCTGAAACAAGACCTGCTCCTCCAGCATTAGGTTCTTCAGAAACAAATGGCAGCAGTGAGTCTGCAGCTCCTGGACAGAGGCCACCTACCATAGTTCTTGATCTTCAAGTGAGAAGAGTCCGTCCAGGAGAATATCGGCAGAGAGACAGCATAGCCAACCGAACCCGATCCAGGTCCCAGACACCAAACAATACAGTCACTTATGAAAGTGAACGTGGAGGGCTTAGGCGCACATTTTCACGTTCAGAACGGGCTGGAGTGAGAACTTATGTCAGTACCATTAGGATTCCTATTCGTAGAATCATAAACACGGGCTTTAATGAGACAACATCAGTCGCAATTCAGACCATTCTGAGGCAGATAATGACAGGTTTTGGAGAATTAAACTACTATATGTACAGTGATGGTGATGCAGATCCTAGTGGCCCAGTCCCAAACCAAAATGTAGATGCTCCTGAGCTACAGAATGGAGGTGATAGTGGTGGTACTAGTTCACACAGTGAAAGTACCGAGGGTAGCTCAGGGGAGGTATATGAAAGTAGTAATGAAGGAGGTTCAACATCTGTTAGGCGGGAAGGTCGCAATACGAGAGGATCAGTCACTTTTGAAGAAAGTGGCTCTTTACCATTCCTTAGCCTAGCGCAGTTTTTTCTACTAAATGAGGATGATGATGACCAGCCAAGAGGACTCACCAAAGAACAAATTGACAACCTAGCGTGGAGGAATTTTGGTGAAAGCGATGCTCTGAAAACCTGTAGTGTCTGTATTACAGAATACACAGAAGGCAACAAGCTTCGTAAACTGCCTTGTTCCCATGAGTACCATGTCCACTGCATTGATCGCTGGTTATCAGAAAATTCCACTTGTCCTATTTGTCGTAGAGCAGTCTTAGCATCTGGTAACAGAGAAAGTGTTGTCTAAATGAGATCTGAATTTTTGGCTGAACAGCTGGTGTAATAGTGATGGGCAACAAAGTCACTTTCATTATGGCCACTTTTTGAGTGGTGCTTCAATGTAAAGTAATGAGTTTGGCTGCTTCTTCCCTCATGGAAACATTTTCTCAGAATTAAAGCTTTTAAAATGGGAATCTCTTTAAATCAGAGTCTCCAAATCTATTCAGTTTCAGTGTCTCGAATTTCAGAAAATTTTATTTCCCCTAAGATGCCTATTTGCTATAAATTTCTTTTTTTTTTTCCCATCATCAAGACTGTTAAGCTCCTTCCCCCGCCTTCCCTTCCCCTCCCCATGCATTGTGAATCTTAAAGACCTTAGCGCTCAGCTCATCCCTTTAAGGAACTTATCTGAGAAGTCATCCTAGCTACAGCACATGCTTCATAGTGGATTTTTAAAAACAAACCCAGCTATTCCACTGAATATGAAATTAATTCAACTGCACCCTTAAATATAATTTTGGTTAACTTTCGTATTGCGTATTCTTGGACATGTGAGTGCAGATAACACTAATGGTAGCCCTTTTCCCATTGTACAGCTGTCTCCAGCCCATCACTATGGCACGCTGTAGAGTGAGCTGATTGCTTAATCGGGATATTTATCTTGTGGAAATATAAGATATGCCTATGCTTGTTTAAATAAAAAAATCACAATTTTTGTTTTACAATTGTAAAGCTTTTTTGTAGAAGCTCAGTACTTTTCCAGTGCACTGTTGTACTAATGCATTAAGAATTAAAATTGTACCATGCTTAGAAATGAAGAGAATGCTTTTCATATAAGACCCACCACACACACAGCAAACTAAATACAAGCGAGCTGCTTTTGTAAATGTTATTGTCAAGAGCAGTGCATATCTGTACTATTTAATTTATGTGAACAGCTACTGTAACATAAAACAGTTAAGAATTAGACATCTTAATTGCATTAAAACTGATGGCAATTGAATGTTATAATTGCAATGTCTTGGCTCAGTAATGCCACCAAAAAGGTGGTGATAAAAAAAAAAATAGAAACCTGCTCTGAAGACTGGTTTTTTCTTTGTATGGTTACTGATCTGTAATGATACAAATTTGTATGTACCAGTTTCATTCAGTGAGGATTTTGCCCAAGTTTTGTATGAAGCTGTATTTTAATCACTGAGGGGGCTGTATGTAACTTTCAGCAGTCATGTTGGCAAATTAATTTTTCTTTTTCCACCCTAATGACATAATTAATCTCTGGAGCTTTGGTAGTTGATTTAACACACTGACCTCCAAATATCAATGGAAGTTGCAGTGTCCAGGGTAGAGAAATTAACATTTAGGTGTAACTGAGAAATAATCTTCTAACAGAGGTTTATCAAACGAATTGCCAATCTTAAATTGTTGGTTACTGGAATACATTTAAAAAATGAAATTTCAAGTTGTTTGAATTTGCAGCTTATTTTCCTTAAAGTAAAATATTAGGCATGTCTCTTTACTGTTAAAGACTGTCTAAATTCCAGTTGCGTTTTGTATTAAAAGTTAATGTGGGCTTATCACAATTCAGATCTTATAAATGCATTTACACAATTTTAAGTCTTCTTTGGAAATGTTCATAGCTCAGCTGTCTTTACACGGTGGGAAACCTCTTCCCCATCTCCCCCATCCCCAAGAAACCTTCCTTTTGTTTTACTCTTTAGTAGCTTTGCCAACGCTACATGCTTCTCAAGGAAAGCAGCGTTCTGTTTCAAGTAAAAAATATAGTAGTTGTTAACTAGGGATATGAACTGCTCTTGCTGGCTAGGTCCAAACTGTTGCTCGATACTCAGATGGCAAAACCAAACCTGTCCTGTCTTTTTTACGTTAACAGATCTTCAGTATTTGAGTGGTGGTTACATAGAACGTCATCCTAGCTGTTAAAGCCATTATAATTGAACTACTCACCAGCCAGGTCAGGATTCCAAGGTGTTCTGGAGCGCTCCCATTTTTCTAACAGTGCATTTTCCTGTCATCCCCAGTTCAGTGGGGAATCCTGACTGGCTGGTGAGTTCGCTTTCCTTGTGGTGGAACGCTCCATCATTGTAAGGGTGTTCCTTATCATATGTTTTTAAAACATTTATAAACAAATACATGCTCTCGAATGTTTTCTCTCTGAGATGTGTTCAGCTATAAAATTGGAGGTTGGATATTAATGTTACTGGTTGGACTTTGATTCATGAATGTAGCTAATGAATCTTAAACCAAAACTACTTCTCAAACATTGGACACCATGATTTTGAATCTTTTCTGTAGTGTGCACATAAGTGTATGCAATCACTTGCATTTTTCAGTAACAGTCTTTGCTGACTTGGACTGTAGAATTAAAATTGAAATATTTTATAGTGGTATTTGCTACTGATTTCTAAATACACTTTTAGCTTTTTAAAATCAGATGTCTTAGGAGGACTAAGGACAGAAATTAGAATAATATGAGCCCATTAGCAACAAGCGATACTCAGTGGAGCAAGGCTGTAATACCTCATTAAGAAGTTACTCTTGTTAATTCAGATTGTTCTTGGTTTCCAAGAACTATACAGTTCAACAACCATCTTTGTAGTTTTATTATGATTGCCTAAAAGTGGTATGCCTTAATGTTTTAACTTTATGTAATTGTACCAACGGTTTAGTGTCTGAGGTTCCCAAAAAGGTACCAGAAACCAGTGTTCACCTCAATTAAGAATCCTTTGAATGTTTCAAATGTTTTAATTATTTATAATGAAATTCCTTTTTAAACTTACTATACCAGTAGCACTGGGGTTTGTTTCTTTGACTTCAAACAATTGGCATGATTGATATTGCTGTTAGTGAGGAACTCTTAAGTAGATGAGGCATTTACCAACGTCCACAACAGTTCTGGAAATGAGCAATGGTATAACTGTGCTCTGAGCTACATCCAGTAACTCAGTGGCGTTTATGAATTACTTTCGTATTATGAATTGTGCAAAACAAATCTGTGGAAAATTATTGGCCTGATCCAGCAGCAGGAATTCTCATCTTAATAAGGGTTGCTGGATCAGGCCCTAGTATTATAAGGTAGTTTAGTTCATTCCAGTATAGTACAATAAATTTATGGGTGTCATTCTTTCCTTTAAAGTTATATTAAGCTTTAAAAGCCAATATTAATACTTCAATTTTAAATTAAATTGCAAGCTTTATAGGTAAAGTATAAAAGCGTCTCTAGTGAGGTGCTCACAATTAGTAAAGTTAGTCTCTTGAATCAATTTATTTAAAAATATATGAATCCTTTTGGTGCCAAGCATTCTTAACATATTTGCATCTATAGCTTTCTTAAGCTTAAACCTATTTTTTCAGCATTGGAATTGTAGATGGATGTGCACTGTTTTTACAGCCACTTTACTGGATGCCAGTGGCCACTGAGAGGTTAAAACACAGCCGTTATCTTTTGGGTTTTTTTAATGCCCACGTGTACATAGATGAATAAATTTAAAAGATTCTGGTAGCCTTATTATACATTTGCTGCTCTCCTCTCCTTAGTTTATAGTGCCATCTTGAGGAAGCTTTTTTTACCCTCCTTCAAAGTTGGGGCGAATACACATCTTTGACTCCATTATTTATTAAAACATTAATTTCTTTGCTGTTTAAGTTGGTTTTGTGTCTGAAGAAGCTCCCCTGCTAGAGCTTGTATAAGGAAAGCTGATGTTAAAAAAAGAAAAAAGAAAAAAACACACACACACAATTGCACATTGTGGACAGCCATCCTTCCGGTGTTTGGGATTACCCCTAGGTATTTAAAATGTAGAAGAGTGCACAATCTTTTGTTTTATAAGAGTGCAGCATATAGTTCTAATCAAACTGCAAATTTGTAGACATTTTTAATGGGTTTTATCCATTAAGTGAAAGAACTGTGAAAAATAGTGATTGGTTTTTATTGGGATTCTTCTTTTACTTGCACTTTTGTAAAAAATAAAAATAAAAATAAACAGCTTTTTGCAAATAGTATTTTGCAGGCAGTTAGTTCATTTATGTTAACTGATCCTTGTTTGGAAAATAGTGTTATTTGACAGGGTAGTTGCTGCACCGCATGCATAGAAACTACTCGTTAAAAGTTTCTTAAGGACTTTCTGTAGGAAGTATTGGTGTGCATGCATAGCAGCTGCACTAACATGATACTGTACAAATTTTGAAGAAGCCATGATTGGCCATTGTGCCAACTTGCAGATTAATGTGTTTTCAACTAATGTTGACACAATGGACAGTAATGACTGTCCGCTATCCATGGATTATGCGAATATGTAGTGTCCAAAGGACCATTTCACTAATCTAATTTCAGTATGAAATTTATCTTAAAATATTTGCCTACACTTTGAGGAAATTCATGGTCTGAGATATGTTATCGTAACTAGGGTCTAATTTTAAGATGAGAAAAGAAATTTAGTTAAAGCATTGGTTTCCATTTTGTACCAGTGTGCCTAGGTATTCTATGGGTCTTCCAACAGTGTGTGTTCTTAATCAGCACATATATTGCAATATCAAGGTTCAGCTGGCTGGGTTTAGCTGTTTAGCTGCAGCCTTAACTTTTCTTTGCATTGTTAATTTGAGACCCTTACTATAACTGTAATGTGGCATTCCGTGTAAGAATCTGGTGTTTCCATTCATCCTCAGTACGACTGGGGATTTATGTGACTTGATTAGGGTTACGTGATCAGATCTTGAGTTGATTAGGTATGCAGTTGTAATGGAAATGCCTGTGCCAGATTAGCTGGCTTCTCCCAGGAGGTGTTAACTCGGAGCCATGTTAAGGGAATTAAGCAACACAGTTAGAAATATTTCAAATTTTCACCTACAAGAGGCTTTTTTTTGTTTGGGTTGGGTTGCTGAGGGGAAGGAGACAAGCAAATCTAATGGTAATGTAATTTACTCAAAGCACATTAAATTATGTTGTGTAAAAATTAGTTTGATTCTGTTATATCAGGGCTTCCCAACCTCTCTTGCACCGAGATTTCCTTTTTCTTATGGGCGAATCCATTATTGAACCTTACTTGGTTCCATTATCTGGTTTTCGTCACTTAAATTAAAATCCCAAGAGCCCTTCCCTATATCTGATAGGCTGTTGGCTGGGAAGCCCTGTATTAAACTGAGAATGTAACAATTTTCCTTTTTGTACAGTGCTTTACATTGTTTATATTGGACTTTAGTACAAAATGGTACTCTAAAAGGTCATAAAACAGTTTGATCATATTTGATAGCTAACATTTAGGAAGAGTTTGTTTCCTATGTAAGATGTCATAATGCAAATTTAAATAGACTCAATAAAATGCATGAAGTGATAATTTTGTTCTTGATCATCGCTCCTTGGGGACTGGGGGGTGGTGGTCATTCTGTAGTGGGAATGTAATTGGGACTACCAGGGTTAATAGCTCATGATAAATGTGATAGGAATCCCTTTTTTTTTTTTCCAGGTTTTAGAGTAGCAGCCGTGTTAGTCTGTTATTTGAAGTGGGAGAGCAGGAAAGGAATAGGAACAACCTATGGCTTTTTGTCAAAAGAATTTGTCTGCTTCTTTGTATACTAAACTGAAGGGATAAATCTCACCACATACAAGAGTTCACTAAATCAGTTGCATAGAATACAAGGACATAGTTTTAATTCATCTTCCAAAATATTAGCTGTGATTTATGGGTGCTATTCAGTAACTGAAATCAATGACCTGGCCTCAACGGTGAAAGTCAATCTAGAAACATGCAGAGGGCCATAGAAACACTGTCAAGATTGCATAAATTCACCTATGGCCAGAGGCTTCCTTTTAAAATTAATCTCTGACCTGTGTGCAGTGCTCCACATGAATGAGAAGGAAACTAAATACCTTTTGGAGGATGTGGAAAACTATATGCTTCTCCATGCATGCTCTATGAGTAGGAAGCAAAGACCAATCCTGGACACATGGGATGATGTCTGAAACAAAGGGTGGGAGGGTCTAATTGTATTTATTAAGACAGCGTTCAACAAGATGTAACAAAAAATGGAAGGCAGGAGTAGGAGAATAGTGATAGGATTGCGTGGGATAATATAAAGGCTTACATAGACATAGTTATAAGAGCCATGTCTGTGCTTTGTGCAATTTCTCTAACTTTGTGCAGATATTTATTGATAAAAGTGGTGTCTTGCATCAGAAACTAACAGTATTGAGTTCGGTTTGGACTGAAAGTGGCACCCTTAAGTGTACTGCAACGCAAAATAGTAGTGTCCTCTGTGTGAAGATGCTTTCAATGCCCTTCAAGGATGATTTATCTGTTTAATTAGGGGCATAATCTAATCTTTCTGAAGGCAAAGGCTTGTGAATTGGGAAGTCTTGAGTTCTAATCCTGGCTCTGATACAGACTTTGTAGTCTTGGGCAAGTCACTTTGCTTTTCTCCCTCTGTGTCCCTGTTTCACAGATGGGGATCATAATCTCCACCTCCTTTTATTTCTAGATGACTGGTTCAAGTGTGCCTCCGGTAGGTACTGATATTCATTATATGAAGTGAGTTGGTCTCTGTTGGGAAGTGGCAACAGCCACATTATTAAAAACCACCACCATCATTAGCATCGTTTGTTCTTGTTGGAATTCTTATATAAAATGGCCATTGAAACTGATCTCTCATGGCCCTGCCCACTCAGTGTTGATGTGATTGCAAGGAGAAGCTTGCGTTACTCCTGCTGTCTGTACTGTACAGTACCTACTCTGTAGAGGGCAGACTTCATTTTCTAAGGTGCCTTTTTACCAGTGCCAATTTCTTAAAGAAAAATATTCTCTATATTCTAACTTCTGTCTGTTTTAGGGTTTTATACTAGCACCCTTCACTATAGGATCCAAGCATTTTCCATGTAAAATCAATAGCAATAGTGATATCCTGGAATCTTTGGCTCTCCTCACTTTTGGGGGTAAAAACTCTGCTTAGCCTATTTATTGTTTGGCTTGTTGGTTGTTTGGTTTGTTAAAAGTTCTTTGTTTTTATTATTGGACGGGTGTGCTTTGGTAGGATGGAATAGTCAGTGTTGTGCAAATGACTGACTTGTATGGTGGAAGGACTTGCAGTGTTTCCTAAAGGATAGTTTAGTTTTGGATCTGTCTAATCTCTGGAATTTTATTTCTAGTCAGATCTCCTTGCCCAAGGGTGCTTTATCCACAACTCTTATATGCTTCATCCTGAGTTTTGTGATTTGTATTGTCCCAGAGGGACACAACTGTTTCAGTGGTTCATAGATTGAAATTTGATCTTTAATATTGTTGGGCCTTGATCTATTAACTTGTGTGATTTTAGTCTAGTCCATTGAGCTCCTTGTCAATCCTTTTCTATAGCAGGACCTCCCTCCCATCTAGCTGCTACCACAACCCTCAGGCTAGGGTGGATGGTAGCATCCTGGGGATGTGACCTCCCCAGTTTGAGAAATCCTGATCTATTCCTTATGAATCCCCTTCTGTCTCAAAAACTCCCTCAAAAAACCTTACCCACCTCACTTATTTTCCAGTTCCTTCATTGCATCAAATTTTGAGCTCTGTTTCTCTAGCCTTCAAACCCTTATATAATTTAGCTCCTCCCTGTCTGTTCAGGCCCATGACCTTCAACTTTGCATTGTCCTTCTAGAATCACCTTCAGGCTTGCTTCCACGTAGTCCTGCATACCTTGCAGTCTATTACTGCAGTGAAGAAATCAACATAAATATCTAGAGACAACTAACTGTCTCCCTGCTCCTCTGTACCAGATATGATCAGGATCAGATCAGAAAGGGTGCAACTCTCTTGCTACTCCTCTCTTGTGGCTCGAGCCACAGTTCAGTGTCTATCTCTACCATGAACTCCAGCATCTTTGCAAAAGTGGCATGAAAACGTACTTCCCGGGTATGTATGTTGGTTATCTTATTGTCAGTGGAGCTGGGGAGATGGGAGAGCTGCAATCTTGCAAGCAGAAGTTGTGAATGCTGAGAAGGTGCTGTTGTGGCTCCGTGACTTGCTTTCACATGGGTATAGAACATAAGGAAGGAAGTTGCTCATAGGTTTGATAGGTGCTTTAAGTGGAGAACACTTGTGTGAACTGGGAAGATGATTTAGGTTCTTGAGGCTGTTAGCCCCTGCAGCAGGACTGTAACTTAATCCAAAATGAAGGTCTGTGAGCAATGTTTTCCTGTAACTTCACTGATGCAGGGCTCTGTTGAAGTGCTCATCTTCTAAAAGGGGTTTCAACTTCCCATGAAGGACTGTGAAAGACATTCCATCATGCCCTCTGTACGTCAGGGAGCAGTGGACTCTCTATGCAGTCAGTGGCCTTATGCCTCAGGCTCACAGTGCAGATAGATGAGAACAAAAACTCTTCTAATAGCAAAATGACTTTTGCACTTATGCATTAGGAGCAGAACAAGACTTCCTTGTGGGATGGGGATAGGCACAGGGGAAAGTATGAATGCTATTTTTCTCTGCCTGTCTCCCCTTGCAAATCATGTAAAATGCCTTTGACAAGTCCACAAGCACATAGAAAGGTCATAGGAGGAAAATATCTAATATACTTTTGGCTTTTAATGCCATTTATTATTTGGAAACAGACACTCTGTCACTAGCAAGCTCTCACTCAACTAGTTGCAAGGACTCTGGACCGCAGGTAGGAACCTCTAAACTCAGGGTGGACTTGCCATGGGGTAGGTGGGCACTCAGTATAGCAGAGCAGTCCTTGGAAAAAGGACAGACATGGCTTTTAATTACAACAGCTTCCTACCACTTTGCTTTCCAATCTATCTTGAGGGAGAATCCATACTTTACCACCTCCAGGAGAAGACACTGAACGTACCATCACGCACAATCATACATAGGGGGTTAGATAAGTTATCCGAGCAGCTCTCTTCCATCTAACTTATAGGAATCTAATTTAGAAGCAAAACTGCTACCTTCCATACATGAAATTCTAGAGTGAAAACACTTCAGACTCCTACAAGACTTAAAGTGGAGGAAGCATTGTTTCAAGGTTAATGGCATTCCAACATTAAAAACATTGTTGCATTAAATATGTGCAATATTGACACCTTTGGCATGCAAAAAATCATGAGTCATGCTGTAGAAAAACCATGAGACTTGCTTAAAAATCATAAAATTGGGGCATTTTTGTTTTTTCTTTTAGGTGCAGTTGGATTATGGTTTCAAACTTTTCTCAAGAGCCAGGAGGACTAGGAACTTAGCTTTGATGATTTTTAAAAGGTTTGAATGTCTCACATAAGCACATGCATCAAGGAGCTGGGGTTTAAGAAAAATATCAAATACGAGATTCATGATAAGATTTTAAGAGTTGGCAACGCAGTAGTGTGTGAAGCAATTTTACAGTGATATTGAAGTAATGATTGTTAATCGTATAACAAGCGTTATTGCAAATGTCAGCCATTAGGGGGATGTCTTGTGCAACTGTAAAAGAGAGGTCACCATAGTTTATTACTGATGTTGAAAACCCACCGATTTTGACATGAAGATTTTTGCTTCACTACCTTAGGACAAGTTTTCAGGAACTCTTTTTCAGGGCAGCATTTTCAGATCTCAAATAGCCAAACTTGGATCCTTCTAATGTCCCATAGCAGCATAAGCACTTTATAAATGCTTACCTGAATTTTAAAAATGATTCCAGATTGTCAAATATGAACTAAATGGAGCAAAGAGGCTATAGTGTGGAACCTTTAAACAAGCAAGCGTTTCCAGCACAAACATCCTGCTTTTAGTTAGTTTAATGAGTAGATGCATGGTCTTTGTGTTGTTTGGCAATCTGCACCCAAATATTTTGGCTTTGGTAGTGTGCTACATGAAATGTTGAAAAGAAAAAAGTGCTCTTGTTTGAGTTGATATTTGGACCCCAGAGCAGGATTAATTCTTGTGGTTTATTGTCTGCTTATGGAAGCCTTCTGTTTCTCATTCTCTCTTTAAAGCAACAAAATCTGGACCTTAACAAAACCAACACCATCTCAGATGCAGAGTTCTGGATAGACAGCAAGATGCACTGTAGTATTCACGTGAAAAAATTCATATTTGATCTGTCTACAAACCAAAACATCTCCTATGAGACTGAGTGGCATTCTCAGAGGCACCTAACCCAGTTGTGTCAAAGTCCTGTTGAAACTCAAGCAATTGAAGATGTACAAGTTTCTACCTCCTGACCCCAAGCAAGGATGTAAGCCAAGACCCTCTTAGTGCCAATGGGAGATCTGAGTGTTTTAGGAACACCGTAGTGACTCTGTACTCCTGCTACTGAAAATAATTGCCACCTAACAAAGCTGGATGAATGGCAACAAAATGGCAAATGAAATTGTGTTGACAAATGT